AATTGCTCTGGACAAAGACAAAAAAAAGAGTTTAGAAAGTCATAATTGCTCTGGACAATGATAAAAAAGAGTTCACAAAAGTCACAATTGCTCTGGACAAAGACAAAAAACAAGAGATTAGAAAGTCATAATTGCTCTGGACAAAGACAAAAAAAAGAGTTTAGAAAGTCACAATTGCTCTGGACAAAGACAAAAAAAGAGTTTAGAGAGTCATAATTGCTCTGGACAAAAAACCACACAAAAGTCACAATTGCTCTGGACAAAGTGGCTGTAAAACCACCTCAACCCCACATTCACAGGCCCAACCCCCGGGTTAATGACATTTAATGACATTTTGTCAGCTTGTCTTGTGTCCCAGGAGGTTAAACCCGGGCCTAAGTGCTAAAAACCAGCACCAAACCTCAGCAAAACACCCGGATCTGGCAATAATTCCGGGGGATTTTTGGGAATGCCGGACTTCTTCTCCTCTTTGAAAAAACAGTGACCCCCAGAGCCCCTCGGGGAGGTGGAACTGCCCCCAAATCCCGGTTTTATTCCCGTTTTCCCCCTCACTTGATCATGTGGTTGGCGTAGGCCCGGGAGCAGCAGGTGCTGTAGCGACACAGGGAGCAGTGCACGTAGGTCGGGAAGTGGTTGGGGAAGTCTGGGATCTCAAAGCTGCATTCCAGGCACGTCTGCCTGCCCAGGACACTCCTGCAAGAGGGGAGGGAGAGCTCTGTTAGCCTTGGGATGGTGGAATTAGGGCCACTGTGGGGGGAAAAGTGGATTTAAGGCCTTGTGTCGGTGTTTCCCGCTCCCTGGAAATCGTTTGGAAGTGGGTAATAAATGGGGAAATGACAAGAAATAATAATTCCAGGTACGTCTGTCTGCCCAGGATGCTCCTGCAAGAGGGGAGGGAGAGCTTTGTTAGCCTTGGGATCGTGGGACATGCATGGAATTATGGCCATTGTTGGGAGAAAAGTGGATTTAAGGGTTTGAGGAACTCCCTCGTTCCTCGGTGTTGGTGTTTCCCACTCCCTATAAATCATTTGGAAGTGGGTAATAAATGGGAAAATGACAAGAAATAACAATCCTGAGGACGAGGCAGCAGCACCTGGAGGGGCTACAGGAGAGGGATTTTGTACAAGGGGTGGAGTGACAGGACAAGGGGGGCAGGGTCAGGCTGAAACAGGGAAATTTAGGGTGGATGTGGGGAAGAAATCCTTCCCTGGGAGGGTGGGGAGGCCCTGGCACAGGTTATTCCATGGATTCCCCAGCCCTGGGAGTGTCCAAGGCCAGGAGCAGGTCTAGTGGATGATCTTTCAGTCCCTTCCCACCCAAACCATTCCATGACCCTTTAGGGTGGGCAGGAATCCCTCCCCTGCTGGAATTCCACTGTCAGCTCACTCTGGATTTCAGCCTCACCTCAAGGGCTTTCCCAGCACAATCCTGGTTCTGTGGGAAGCCAAACTCATGGAATAAACCCCCCCTTGGCACAGGATCAGGTGCTCCCCACCCCCTTTGGCACCGGAACAACCCACGGCAGCCCCTCGGAAACCTTCAAAAATTCAGAATTCAGCCCCAAAAAGGAGCTCTCACATTTTTTTGACGGCTCTTTTCTGGACGTTCCTCTGGACAGGAGGGTACAGGAAGATGGGCTGGGGGTCTGAGGAGGAGGACAGAGGAGCTGTGTCCTGTCCCAGGCCCTGGGACATGTCGTTGGAAGAGACCGGCAACGTCCGCGGTTGTCCCCTGGACGCCCTGATTGTCACCTGGAGGGAGCAGAGACACCAAAAAAAGGGGCAGGAATGAGCTAGGAATGGTCAACCCAGAGAGGAGAAGGTTGTGTGGAGACCTCAGAGCCCCTTCAGGTCCTGGAAGGGAACAGGGAAGGTGGAGAGGGGCTGTTCATCAGGAACTGGGGTGACAGGACAAGGGGGGTGGGTTCACACTGAAATAGGGAAATTTAGGGTGGATATTGGGAAGAAATCCTTCCCTGGGAGGGTGGGGAGGCACTTTGGAGGTTATTCCATGGATGTTCTACCCCTGGAAGTGTCCAAGGGCAGGTTGGACCAACCTGGGCTCAGGGAAGGTGTCCCTGCCCATGGTCTGGATGATCCCTCAGGTCCTTTCCTACCCAAACCACTCTGGGATCCTCTGCAGCCAAATTCAGGCTCAGGAGCTCCAGGGACACAGGATTTGAGCAACCTGGGCCAGTAGAAGGTGTCCCTGCCCATGGTCTGGATGATCCCTCAGGTCCTTTCCCACCCAAACCACTCTGGAATCCTCTGCAGCCAAATTTCAGGCTCAGGAGCTCCAGGGACACGACTCAGCCCCCCCCAGGACACAGGATCTGAGCCCCAAAAGTGCCTGTTTGTCCCTAAAAAACTACAGAGCACGTCCAGACAGCTCAGGCAGCTCCTCCAGAGGTGAGTTCAACCTCTGCCACCTCCTCTCTCTCACTCCCTCCCTCCCTGAATCACCCAATTAACTAATTACACTGTGGTTTAGGCAAAACCAGCCTGGTTTTTACAACACCAGTGAACACAAAACACTCCAGAGGTGTTCCCTGAGGGAGCCCAGAGCCTGGGATTCCTCAGCAAACCCGGGATTCCTCACCTTGGTGCCAGGTTTTAACCCTTCCAGCTGCTTGGGCTTGCGGAAGGTTTTGTGGTGCTGCAGCTTGTGCTCGATTTTGTCCTTGGCAAAGAGGAACTGGAGCCTGCACTTGTTGCAGTGATAAACACTCTTCTTCTAAAGCAAAGGGGGAAGAAATGCAGCTGAGAGGAAGAGGAGTTTCCCCCCACAGACACACAGCAGGGTTTGGGTTTAAAAATGAAAGAAAATAAAAGCTCCAAACCCCCCCAGTTTCCCCCTCTTGGAAAGCAAAGGTGGCCCCGTTTTCCTCCTGCACGGCCCTGGTTGGTGGGTTGGTTTAAATTGGTTTAAGTTTTTAATTAAAATCGTGATGTTCTGCAGAGACACCACACCTGGAAGCGCCACAGAACAGGTCCTGGGGCAACATTCCCTCAGGAGCTGCCTCTCAGGGGAGCCCAGCAGAGGATTTTGGGGCAAATCATTTCAGGCACTTTTAGAATTCCCAAATTCTCCCTACCAAGATCTCATTTTCCACCCCCAGACAGGTGATTCCTGGTGTACCTGGTGCCTCATTCCCTCAAGAGCTGCCTTCCCTTTGCCCCTCAGGAGAGTCCAGGAGAGGATCTGGGGGGCAAATTCCTAAATTCCACCTACCAAGAGCTCATTTTCCACCCCTAGACAGGTGATTCCTGGGGTACCTTTTGCCTCATTCCCTCAAGAGCTGCCTTCTCTTTGCCTCCCAGGGGAGTCCAGCAGAGGATTTTGGGGCAAATCATGTGGTAAAATCCCTGAATTCCCAAATTCCACCTACCAAGAGCTCATTTTCCCTCCCCAGCCAGGAGACTCGTGGTGTACCTGGTGCCTCATGAAGTGCTGCTGGAAAGCATTGCCATTTTTGAAGACCTTGAGGCAGTAGGGGCAGAGCAGGTGCCGGGTGTCCTCGTGGATCATCCGGAAGTGACTGTCCACCTCCGAGTAGAGGGAGGAGCGGTACTGGCACACCTGGAAAAATTGGGGGAAAATCCCAATTAATGGAGAAATAATGCAGGGATTTGGCTCCTGCTCCTCGCCAGGATGTGGAGATCCCAACAGCACATTCCCAGGAATACCAGGAATGCTGGGATAGCCTGAGCTGGGCACACAGGGCTCGTCCAAGCCCAGCTCCTGGGAGCTTGGAATTAGATCCTGGTTCGGGAATTAAGAGTTCAGGAGTTCAGGAATTAGATCCTGGTTATTCCTGGGAGGTGGTGAATCAAGCAACTGCTCAGAGGAGTCTGGAGAGATTTCAACCCCCCTTTTGTGAAAGGGAAGTGACAATTCCAGCTCCAAATCCGAGGGAAAAAAGGGAAAAGTTAAGAAGGGAGAGAGAGCCAGTCAGTGTAGAGCAGTGGGAATTCATTAAGGAGAATTCATTAATGGAATTCATTAAGAATTCATTAATGGGATTCATTAATGGAATTCATTAAGGAGAACTCATTGAGGCAGAATTTGGAGCAAAATCTGGTTGAACACAACTTGGTTTGGAAGTTTCTTCCCCTGTTTTTAATTCATGGAGCTCCATGCCTGGGGAAAAAACACAGCTGGGCTCCCCAGGACCCCTAATTGGGATGGAAAATCCCAGATTTCCTCTTTTTCTCTGCTATGTGAGAGTGAAATCCAGCTCCCAAACCCCTTTTTCCCCACCTGGCACACGTAGGGCATCTCCCCAGGCTTGTGGGTGTCCTTCATGTGCTGCAGGAACATGGGCTCGCTCTCGAAGGCCCACTCACAGATCTTGCACTTGGCTGCAAAAAGAAGAGGGAAAAGCAGGTCAAAATTGGGGGGAAAAAAATCCAAATTTTAGGTTTCTTTGGTCAGATTTATTATCAGTGTTCTCCTGTGGAAAAAGGGGATAAATCCTTCTTTGGGATCCACTGGATTTGGGAATACCAGGACTGATGTGAAAAGACTGCGTGGGAACATCTCTTTTAAGATAAAATTAAAAATTAAAAGGAAATTTCAACATTCTGAGCAGAACTGGCAAACCACAAAACCAAGGCTCTAATGATTTTAAATTATCCAATGATTAAACGGAGCAGGAAATTAAAGAGTGACTTTCTGCCCCAAACTGAAGTGGGTTTTGACTTTGTGACACTCATGGGGCTCCACTTCACCTGCTGATGTTTTGAGTCAGGGCAGAGCAAAACCAGCAGCATCTGGAGAGGGTTTGGGTGTTTTTTCCAGCAAAACAGAACAATTCCCTGCCTTAAAATGGAGTAAAACTGAGCCCATCACCCAGGGATGTTCTCACCTGGGCCACCCTAAGAACTGGTTCTACTTGTCGGCTTTAAAGACAAGCCCCAAGTTTTTTGGGGATTTCCTGCAAGATTTGTGATTTACCACCAGATAAACCCCCAGTTTAAGGTTGCAAAGGCTCACTGGTGGACTCGTAGGGGCTGTGGACGTTCTCCAGGTGGCACTGGAGCTGGAAGGGGGTGGAGAACTGCCTGTAGCAGTGCTGGCAGATGGTGTGCACGTCCACCTCGCCGTTCTGCTGGTCCAGCTCCACGTGGTGCTTCATGTGGTTCATGAACCTGCAAGAGGGAGGGACACAAATCCAGATTTTCTGCACCTCTGACCCCAAAACCCTCGGTCTGAGCCCTTCTTGACCCCCATTTGGTGCCTCCTTGCTGGCAAAACACAGCTCAGCACGGTGGGATCAAAGAGGGGCTCGCCCAGAAAACGCCATTTCAGCAAAATATTTCCCCTTCCTGGTGAAAAATCAATGGAGAAAGATGAGAGGGAGAATTTTTGTCCTCCAGGAATTATTATTTCTGGTCATCCAGCCATGAGCAAAAGAGACTGACCCGGAAAATGGGGCTGCTCAGGCTGGTTTCTATTCACACCCCAAAGCTCTGCAGCACCACTGGTGCTCCCAGTTCAACTCTAACCCTCCAAACTGGGGCTGTTCAGGCTGGTT